GAGGGCCCGGGGTCAGTAGGGGGCCCCATGAGATGCCCCTGATACCTTTTTCATAGGCTTTTTTGAGTTTGGGCAAGGACACGGGGGGCCCCATGATCCCCTATTGCCCGGGGGCCCCATGAGTTGTCAGTCCGCCCCTGGCTGTGATTGGGCAAAAGCTGATCACATGATACAGATGGACTGTGATTGGCCCTTGTGAATGCCTTGACCAGTCACAGCTAACAATATAATTGTATACAATGGATGGCATGACAGGAAGCCATCCATTGTATACAATTGACATGTGACATGTGAAAGGACCATGCTGGTCTAAAGGGATGCCAGGGTGTGTGTTCTTTTACTCAAGCTTTTCATCACTTACGCTCGCTGCATCTGAATGTGTGACATTGAAGGTAAATCTAAAAGATATTGGGCAGAAATTGGACATAAAATTGTATAGTGTATGGCCAGCCTTATGCACGCCATAGACGGCTCGAAAACCGGACGTTTTTTTGTTCGATAAACGAAACATCGGTCGTTTGTTAAACCGACGTAACCACCAATTATTACCAAGTCATAAAGTTCACCCCATATAACAGGCAAAACTTCTGTTCCTTCCAAGTCACAGCTCATGCGCATATTTTTTTTGTAAAAACGATCGTGCGATTTGACCATCATTGATGCGAAAATCGGTCGTTTTTTGCACAAATTTTCCAACATGACTGATAATCCAAAAGTGGAAAAAAACACGAAAACCGGCCAACGAATTAACCCACTAACAGTGCGAAAATCAGCCGATTAATCTTTCTGGCAAAAATCGTCCGATTTTCGCACCGTCTATGGCCGGGCTTACTGAGAATGCACATCTTCCATTCACACTTTTTTTTTTTCTTGTAGCACCTGTATAAAATTACAATTATCATCCCAGCATGGCTTGGTTTGTTTTCTCTAAAGTTCCCATCGTAATAGAAGTCTCCCATTTACAGTATGTGACCATGGTGGGTGTACTCTCTGGAGCCGCATATCTGGGGAGTATAAATCGGCTCCTCTAGTAATCCATCAGCATCGGGATTAACCCGTTCATAAAAAGCCAGACACTTAGCCCGTGGTTGCCAGCGTTCTCTAAAAACAGCTGGATTGTCTTTGTTTTTTGTTTTTTTGTAAGGAAAGTGAAATTATTATTTTTTTTTTCAAACAGTCCTTTAACACCGTGCTGCCCATACAACTTACTGCAACGCAAAGATGTACATTTTACACACATTTTCATACGCATTGCATTGTTTTTTATGTGTCGTCTGCATTTTCATGCCATCCGTTGTGAAGTGACGGGCCCCTTGGAAGAGTCACAATAGTGAAAATAAAAAGTTGGTTCTATTAACCACTTCCAGTCCGGACACTTTTACCCCCTTCCTGTCCAGGCCAATTTTCAGCTTTCAGCGCTGTCACACTTTGAATGACAATTGCGCGGTCATGCTACATTGTACCCATATTAATTTTTTAGCAATTTTTTTTGAGACAGATAAAGCTTTATTTTGGTGGTTTTTATTCACCACTGGGATTTTAATTTTTTTTGGTATATAAATAAAAAAGCCCCAAAATTTTTTTAAAAAGTGTTTTTCTTGTTTGCAAATAAATATTTCATCATAAATTTTGGACAAAATTTATTTGGTTATCTTTTTAGTAAAAAAGCAAAATAACCCGAATTAGTTTCTAATCAAAAATTATAATTGTTTTAAAAAAAATGTTTACATTTTAATTTTTTTTATATGAATTTTTAGGGGTTTTTTTTACATACTGTCATCCTAGCACTACAGTGTCACCATGGTGACATTGTACTGCTTGTGGGGGGTGATGAAGATTTTTTTTTTTTTTTTTTTTACACTGATTGCTTTTACACCCATAAAGGCTGTAAAAGCAATCATTTCTCCTTTTCTCTGACTGCATTCTTGCAGCCATTGAAAAACACTGTGTGAGCTGTGATTGGTCACAGCTTGTCACATGGTACAAGGCTGTTGTGAATAGCCCTGTATAATGTGATCTCTGTGATCATTCACAGATTTCACACGTAGTAAGGAATGATGTCAGAAGTGAGATCTTGCTTACTCCTCTGCATGTGATCACTGATTGGCCAATCAGTGATCACATGATCGGGACCTCACACAGAGATCCCGTATGACGATCCGGTGGATGGGAGGTGGTTAATTTCAGTTGTATTTACATCATGTATATTGTGTTAAAATGCAGCCAGGTTGCATTTTAACTCAACATACTGCAAGACCTAGTTACAATAGAGGGGTGGATTGCTAAATGTCAGATAAGGTTTAACCCTCTCGCTGTCAGAGCCATTTATGCATTTTTTGCACACAAAAAAAAAATAATTTTAGGCCCAAAGATTACACAAAATCCTAATATATCAAACATGATATATTTTCTGAAAGCAGACACCCTAGAGCATTGTTTTTCAACTTTTTTTCAGTCAAGGCACGCTTTAAAATTATGGACAGTCCCGAGACACCCTTTAAAATTATGGACAGTCCTGAGGCACCCCATTCTGAAATGTGAAAAACTATTCTAATATATAATACAACACAGCAACACCCACACATGTAGGACACCCAAAATTAGAGGTGATTTATTCTTCCAAAGCCATTACACTTTTGCACACTGGTACTGACTAGTATTCCAATGTTTCCCTTCTCCCTCAGTTTTTCTCCATCACTGAGCTAATCTGACCCCAGCACTAATGGAGAGGGGCGGGGGAGGGGCAAACTAGGATGCTCTGCAGGCAGCTGACATCCTCCTTTTCAACTGATGATGTCATTGGTTGTCAGGATGCTGGGAGCTAGAAAGTCGTAATGGTGCACAATGAAAACCTGTGGCTTTGTGTAACTAAAAGGAAGGCTTCTTCCATCTGCTGGCTGTATACAAGTTTGGGGCAATTTTTAGATGTTTTGCCAAGGCACCCCTGAAGAAACCTCAAGGCACCCCGGGGTGCCTTGGCACCCTGGTTGAGAAAGGCTGCCCTAGAGCAGCCTTTCTCAAACAGGGTGACCAGGCACCTGTAGGTTTCTTCAGTGGTGCCTTGAGGTTTCTTCAGGGGTGCCTTGGCAAAATGTCTAAAAATTGCCCCAAACTTGCATACAAGCCAGCGGGTGGAACAAGTCTACCTTTTAGTTACACAAAACCACAGGATTTCATTGTGCACCATTACAACCTTCTAGCCGCCGGCGTCCTGACAACCAATGACATCATCAGTTGATATGGAGGATGTTGGTTGCCTGCACTGCATCCTAGTTTGCCCCTCCCCCGCCCCTCTCCATTAGTGCTGGGGTCACATTAGCTCAGTGATGTAACATATGTACACTACATTGTGGTGTGAACAAAGGGTGTTTTCTATGTGCCCTAACAGTGACCTACATTAATCCAGTGCACAAAAACACAGGTCACTGCAGGTGTGTGAATGAGCCTGAAGTCTACATGTATACTAAATAATGGGGTTTTGTTTCTTCAATTATTTCTATAAAAAATGTCAAAACAAAGCAGTCAATCCTTGATGTAATGTGGAACGACACTCATGTTTGGGAGCATCCTGTGTTTAATGCAGATAGGAGAAAAGGGAGGTGCTTAGGAGAGAGGCGGAAGGGGGTGTGTCCTTAGGAGGGGAGTGTTCCTAGGAGAAAGAAAGGGGGGGGGTTGTCCTTAGAGAGAAAAAAGGGTGTGTCCCTAGGAAGGAGGAAGCAAGGTGTATCTCTAGGAAGGAGGAAGCAGGGTGTGTCCCTAGGAAGGAGGAAGCAGGGTGTGTCCCTAGGAAGGCAGAAGCAGGGTGTGACCCTAGGAAGGAGGAAGCAGGGTGTGTCCCTAGGAAGGAGGAAGCAGGGTGTGTCCCTAGGTAGGAGGAAGCAGGGTGCGTCTCTAGGAAGGAGGAAGCAGGGTGTGTCCTTAGAAGAGAAAAAGAAGGTTGTGTCCCTAGGAAGAAGAGGGCAGGGTGTGTTCCTAGGAGAACGGAAGAAGGCTGTGTCCTTAGAAGAGAGAAAGAAGGGTGTGTCTCTAGGATGAAGGAGGCTGGGTGTATCCCTAGGAGAGAGGAAGAAGGGTGTGTCTCTAGGATGGAGGAGGCTGGGGGAATCCCTAGGAGAGAGGAAGAAGGGTGTGTCTCTAGGATGGAGGAGGCTGGGTGTATCCCTAGGAGAGAGGAAGAAGGGTGTGTCCCTAGGATGGAGGAGGCTGGGTGTATCCCTAAGAGAGAGGAAGAAGGGTGTGTCTCTAGGAGGAAAGAGGCGGGGCATGTTCGTAGGAGGAAGAAAGCAGAATGTGTCCTTAGAAGAGAGAAAGAAGGGTGTGTCCCTAGGAGGGAGGAGGCGGGGTGTGTTCCCAGGAGAAAGGAAGTGGCATTGGTCCTTAGAAGAGAGAAAGAAGGGTGTGTCCCTAGGAGGGAGGAGGCGGGTGTGTTCCCAGGAGAAAGGAAGTGGATTGCATCTTTAGGATAGAGGAAGAAGGGTGTGTCTCTAGGAGAGAGGAGGAGGGGGGCTTGTCCCAAGGAGAGAAGGGGTATGCCAATAGCAGAGAGGGGTGTGTCCCTAGGAGATAGAAGGAGTGTTGTATTCCAGGGAAAAAGTAGGAGGGGCATATCCTTTGGAGAGGTGAAGGATGTGTCCCCAAAGGAGAGGTGGATTGGCATATCCTCAGGAAGGGGAGGGGTTTGTCTATAGCAGGGCGGAGTGTGTCCCTAGGGGAGAGAAGTAGGGGTGTGTCTTTTGGTGGAGGGAGACACACTGTGAGGCTGTTGTAAGCTGCACTGTGCATATCTCAGGACTATTCCAGGAGCCCTTTGTTTGTACACAGGGGTGTGTTATGTGCACAATATAAGACTGCTGTATTATTAACATAGAATGAAGAAGGGAAAGCCAGACAACCACAGTGTGGTGATGGATTCTATAATGGGGGATAATGGCACTCGGGAAGAGGGGAATCTTTTAAGATCTTCCATCTCATCAGCCTAACCTTTGTTCCTTCCCTCCCAGGTCCCCTGTGCAGCATCTGTGTAAACCGCTTTGGGTGCCGGCCGGTCATGATGGTTGGCGGTCTGTTTGCCTCACTCGGGATGGTGTGTGCATCATTCTGTAAGAGTATCCTCACCATATACCTCACTGCTGGAGTCATCACAGGTGAGCAAGAGCCAGGAACTGTCTATCACATGACCTCACCCTACAACCTACCTCCAGCCATTGTTCTTATAGATTTTGGAAGTGTCTCAGTTTTTAGTACTATTAAGAATATTTTCCTAACCAACATTATAAATTTGAGCTCCAAAAAAAAAAGATTACAGTTCTGAAGTTATATATACACTATATTGCCAAAAGTATTGGTCGGCCTGCCTTTACACACACATGAACTTTAATGGCATCCCAATCTTAGTCCGTAGGGTTCAATATTGAGTTGGCCCCGCCCTTTGCAGCTATAACAGCTTCAACTATTCTGGGAAGGCCGTCCACAAGGTTTAGGAGGGTGTCTATGGGAAGGTTGGACCATTCTTCCAGAAGCACATTTGTCAGGTCAGGCACTGATGTCGGGGGAGGAGGCCTGGCTCGTAGTCTCCACTCTAATTCATCCCAAAGGTGTGTTCTATGGGGTTGAGGTCAGGACTCTGTGCAGGCCAGTCAAGTTCCTCCACCCCAAAATTGCTCATCCATGTCTTTATGGACCTTGCTTTGTGCACTGGTGTGCAGTCATGTTGGAACAGGAAGGGGCCATCCCCAAACTCTTCCCACAAAGTTGGGAGCATGAAATTGTCCAAAATGTCTTGGTATGCTGACGCCTTAAGAGTTCCCTTCACTGGGACTAAGGGGCCAAGCCCAACCCCTGAAAAAAACAACCCCACACCATAATCCCCCCTCCACCAAACTTTACACTTGGAACAATGCAGTCAGGCAAGAACCGTTCTCCTGGCAACTGCAAACCCAGACATGTCCATGGGACTGCCAGACAGAGAAGTGCGATTCTTCACTCCAGAGAAAATATCTCCACTGCTCTAGAGTCCAGTGGGGGCGTGCTTTACACCACTACATCCGGTGCTTTGCATTGCACTTGGTGATGTAAAGCTTGGATGCAGCTGCTCGGCCATGGAAACCCATTCCATGAAGCTCTCTACACACTGTTGTTGTGCTAATCTGAAGGCCACATCAAGTTTGGAGGTCTTTAGCTATTGACTCTGCAGACAGTTGGTGACTTCTACGCACTGTGCACTTCAGCATGCGCTGACCCCGCTCTGTCATGTGACGTGGCCTACCACTTGGTGGCTGAGTTGCTGTTGTTCCCAGTTGCTTCCACTTTGTTATAATCCCACTAACAGTTGACCGTGGAATATTTAGTGGCCAGGAAATGTCACGGATGGACTTATTGCACAGGTGACAACCTATCACGGGACCACGCTTGGAGTCACTGAGCTCCTGAGAGCGACCCATTCTTTCACAAATGTTTGTAGAAGCAGTCTGCATGCCTAGGGGATGATTTTTTATACACCTGTGGCCATGGAGGGGCTTGGAACACCTGAATCACATGATTTGGAGGGCGGGGCCAATACTTTTGGCAATATAGTGTGTGTGTGTATATATGTATTTTTTAAATGCAAGCAGTGTAAGTATTGAATTTGACTTGGTATCAGCCTGTTGTAGTCCCTGTATAGCAGAGCTCAGATTGGGGGGTGGGGCAGAAGCAGCACAGGGAGCCAACCAGTTTTGCTGTAGTGCAAAGGGCATGCTGATAGGAAGAGAGAGCAAAGTGACAGATGAGCCCATCAGCCTGTTGCTTCTCCTTCACTGTCCAGTTACAGGTCTGGGGAGGGACACATCCTGTATGTGTTACTGAACTGCAGCACTGGAAAATGTGGTCTCCTTCCCTAGTACTGAGCTCTGTAAATAAAAAGTTTTTTTTTCCTATAGAGCAGGGGTCTCCAAAGGGCCAGTGTATTTTTCTTTAGACTTCAGGGGGCCAGTGGCAATAGACAATGTCTTGCTTCAGCGATACTAAACGATGTCAGGTTGTTGGTGTCATTGAAAGGAATAGTGTGCTATTGTTGGTGTATAGGGGAGGCATCATTCCCCATTGTTTGTTTGTGTCAGTGGGAGGAAAGTACCCCATTGTTGGTATCAGTGGGAGGAATAGTGCTACATCGTTGGTGTTAGTGGGAAGAATAGTGCCCCATTGCTGGTGTCAGTGAAATTAATTGTGTCCCATTGTTGGTGTCATTGGGAGGTATAGTGCCCCATCATGGGTGTCAGTGGGAGGAATAGTGCCCCATCATTGGTGTCAGTAGAGGAATAGTGCCCCATCATTGGTGTAAGTGGAGGAATAGTGACCCATCGTTGGTGTAAGTGGAGGAATAGTGACCCATCGTTGGTGTAAGTGGAGGAATAGTGCCCCGTTGTTGGTGTCAGTGGGAAAAATAGTGCCCTGTTGTTGGCATCAGTGGGAGGAATAGTGTCCCGTTGTTGGTGTCAGTGGGAGGAATGGTGCCCCATCATTGGTATCAGTGGGAGGAATTGTGCCCCGTTGTTGGTGTCAGTGGGAGGAGTAGTGCCCCGTTGTTGGTATCAGTGGGGGGGAATAGTGCCCAGTTGTTGATGTCATTGGGAGGAATAGTGCTGCATTGTTGGTGTCAGTGGGAAGAATAGTGCCCCATCCCTGGTATACCCCATCATTGGTGTCAGTGGGAAGAATAGTGCCCCAAGGGATGGATAAAGGCATGCAAAGGGCCATATCCAACCCTTGGGCCACAGTTTGGAGACCACTGCTATAGAAGGGTCTGGATACCATGTACAAGTGAGCCAAGAGCTCCACCTACTGACTGAAAATGGGAACACATGATTTAAATGGAATAGATTATATATACTAGATTTAAGAAAAAATATGTTTTTCAGATGTATTTATTCCTGAATTGAAAACCACGATACATTATTTTAACTGGCTCTACATGTAAGTAGAGTATAACCGCTAATAGGAAGCTAGATTGTGGGGGAGTAGGAGAGAGTTAAAGCCACTGTCTGTTGTTTTGCCATCAGAGTCTCCTTAGAGAGATTTACCAAACTCTCTCTTCTCAGAAGCTTTTAAACAAATATTTCTATCTTTTTCCTATAAATATTTAAGCCCCCATTCACACTTCAGGATTTGGAATCACGGGCAGAATCATCGCTAGTCTGCCCTCGTTTCTAAATTGCGTGGCAATCCCTGCAATATGTGCAGTGCAATGCATTATCCTTTAATGGCACCCCAAACGCTATGCAATTCTGTTGCAATTATTGCACGGCAGGATTACTGGGCAACTGCTGCAAATCGCTCCTACAAAAAATTGCAAAAAAGAGCAGGAGCTTCTTTTGGGAGACCAACGTGCATAGGGCAAGCCCATTCAAGTGAATAGACAGCCCTATGCATGGCACACAGACTTGCGTGAGAATCACGTTTTGAAAATCGCGTAGCAAGGAAGCTTGTTCCCACCACGTAGTATGTGAACAGGACCTAAAGTATTTATTTTATCACATTAAAATATTTCATGAAACTAGTACAGGTCCTGTGTTCACATGACTGTAATCAGAGCATCAAAAAGGACACATATAGTCGGCGCTGAACAGGTCCAGCCCAGGGGCGGACTGACCATTTGGAAACTCGGGCACTGCCCGAGGGCCCGGGGTCAGTAGTAGGGGCCCCATGAGATGCCCCTTGTTCATAGGCTTTTTTGAGTTTGGGCAAGGACACAGGGGCCCCATGATCCCCTATTGCCCGGGGGCCCCATGAGTTGTCAGTCCGCCCCTGGTCCAGCCTACACCCTGGTAGCTGATTGACTCTGCAAACCAAAGGCTGTAAGATAAGTCCATCACTCAATACAACAGATAATAGGAACAATCTCACCGAGTGGATCTCAGGACATCTGTGCTGGTAAAGTATCATACAGTCCCAGCTAGCGATATCTTGGGGATGAGATGGGACAGCTTGCAGCGCGATGTGTAGTATGCATACAGCGGGTCAGGAGAGCCAGCTTGCACTATGGCTTCTCAGCAGGGGATAGCACATGGAGGGAGGACGTGATCCCTTCCACCTTTACCAGCACAATTGTCCTGAGATCCCCTTGGTGAGATTGTTCCTATTATCTGTTGCATTGAGTGATGGACTTATCTTACAGTCTATGGAGTGCAGAGTCAATCAGCTACCAGGGTGTAGGCTGGACCTGTTCAGCACCGACTATGTGTCCTTAATGTATGGGATGTGCACTGTTATGCTCATTGTTTACATCCAATAAACATATCCTGTTCATTAGCCATTGAGGTGCTGTATCCTTTTTTTTTTCTTTGGGGGTTTATGTAGTGACCTTCTTCTGGATGTGCATCCCCCGTCAAATGTTGTGTAGGGGGTACGACGTGAGCTGGTGTACCACTCCCAGAACAGGCTGGGCAGCCGTTGGGTTTTTTGTATAGTTAGGAACACCAGATATTTCACACAAAGGAAACAAAACAAAGAGAACAGGATACCTATTCATACAAATACATGGTACAGCAGGCACATGACAGGAATAGGAAATGTTGGGTTTACATATTCTGTAACATATATGTCTGCTTTTCCTTTTCCCCCCCTCAGGTTTGGGCCTGGCTTTGAATTTCCAGCCTTCACTGATCATGTTAAACAGATACTTTGACAAACGTCGTCCATTGGCCAATGGTCTTGCTGCAGCTGGAAGCCCCGTCTTTCTTTGTTGCTTGTCTCCATTGGGGCAGATCCTCCAGTATGAGTTTGGCTGGCGTGGTGGCTTTCTTATCCTCGGGGGTCTTCTTCTGAACTGCTGTGTATGCGGTGCGCTAATGAGACCTCTGGAACCACCAAAGAAAGAGAAGGAGAAAGAGGAAGAGGAGAGCAAAGAAGTCAAAAACACACCACCAAAAAAGCTTTTGGACTTCACGGTGTTCAAAGACCGGGGCTTTGTTATCTACACACTTGCTGCCTCCATTATGGTTTTGGGGCTTTTTGTGCCACCTGTTTTTGTGGTCAGCTATGCAAAAGACCTTGGCGTGCAAGACACAAAGGCAGCGTTCCTCCTCACCATCCTTGGATTTATTGATATATTTGCTAGACCTACCTGTGGGTGTTATTGCGGGTCTAAAATGGGTGCGACCACGTTGTGTCTATCTCTTTGGCTTTGCGATGATCTTTAATGGTTTTACTGATTTGATGGGCTCTATGTCTGATAACTACGGGGGCTTGGTGGTCTTCTGCATCTTCTTTGGAATCTCCTATGGGATGGTTGGTGCTCTGCAGTTTGAAGTCCTCATGGCCATTGTCGGCACGCAAAAGTTCTCCAGCGCTATTGGCTTGGTGCTCCTAGCAGAGGCTGTAGCAGTTCTCATTGGACCTCCCTCAGCAGGTAAACATTCAATGATTTACAGTTTTCAGCAAGCTGTGGTGGCGGGTATTTTGTTTTTCATTCAAATTAGGGATGCACCGATACTCTTTTTTGAGCAGTGACACTTTTGATCAAGAACTCACCGATACCGAGTACCAATACTTTGCGGTGCGATTTGTGTGTGTACAAAATGTATGCAATTTGAATAGCGTACAATTTGAACAGGATTCCTGTCCAAATCGTATGCACTTTCCCCACTGCTCCTGTATGAACCCAAGCTTGTCATATCCTGAGTTCACACAAGAGTTGTGCAGGAAACCTCCTTGCACTGTTCCCATGCTGTGCCATCCCAGTATTGGCTAGACTGCTTCTGATTGGTCAACACTGTGTACTCCCTGCATAGAGAGAAGAGAAAACCGCAGGGATTTCAAATCCCCAGACCTGTGAATTGGCTTTTCCTTGTGTGACTGCATGGGTCGGGTACAGGGAGGTTTCCCACAACGCTCCTGTGTGGGTTCAGATAGGAACAGTGAGGAAACCTCATGCGATTTGGACAGGAATTGCACTGCATTCCTGTTCAAATCACATGCTATTCTTTGCTTTGTAATTTGTGATCCTATATTTTGCAAAGCATCCGTTTCGGGTATCAGGAGCATTTTCACGAGTACTCATGAAAATACTTGGTGCATCCCTAACTCAAATACTAAATATTAATAGCTAGAAGCATCTCCCCGTACTTTTCTGAAAATGAATCTGAAAATGATTGCCCTCATGTAACAACATCAATTACATGCAGCAGCTTGTGCTACGTCTATAAAAACATAACATTTGGTTTATTAAAGTGGAGTTCCACCTGATAAAAAAAAATAAATAAAAGTCAGCAGCTGCAAAAACTGTAGCTGCTGACTTGCAAAATACAGCCACTTCCCTGTCCCTCGATCCAGCGGTGTGCTCACCACGGCCGTCTTCTCTCCCTGGTGCCGGCATCTTCAGTATGGGCACCCGACTGCGACAGCTTGCGGCTTCACAGCTGGGTGCCCACTGAGCATGCGCGAGAAACGCGTCAATTTGTGAATGGCCCCGTAGTCTTCCGGGACCTGTCACGTGTCCCAGAAGACTACGGGAAGGGAGGGGGGAGCAAAACTTCCGCTTCCGATCGCCTAGGCGATCGCAGTGGGAGTGGGTACCTGTCAAATTCGGGTACCCGCTCCCAAAAGGTGCCAATCCTTAATGGAAAGCGGGGGACAAAGGCTTAAAATGGAACTTCCCCTTTTGGGTGGAGCTCCGCTTTAAGTATCTCTGATACCCACAAGTCGCACATTTCCGTATTTGCTTGGCTAGAGGTTCTGCATTGACCTCTGCACTTTCTGAGCTACGTCTTCTCCATCTTGGCATGAGTGGCAAACTCAATGTAGTTCTTCAACTTGAAAATTTGGGGGGCTAAGCTGGCACTTTTACTTGAGACAGAGGCCATTTGATTTCCAAGTAAGGAGAAGTAGCTACTGTTTGACCATGAATTCAATAATAACTTAATGATTTTCTATACTTATCGGGAAACCAATGATTGGAAAAGTATTGAGGTAGAGTGGGGCCCTAGGGAAGGTAGCAGCTTTGGGGTCTCTATCTCTGTAATTGACATTAATAAGGATTGTAATAGACACAGAGAAGTTGATTCATTTATATTGTCTGTAGCATCAGTCGGCCTCATTTGTCACAAATGGTCTTCAAATACAACCTTGATGGGCAAGTGCACAGCTTTCACCAATTGTGCTATCCTCCTGGCCTAATGTAGGAGCAATAGGATCATAGCTGGGCCTTTTAGACATCCACAATCAAGAGAACCTGTCACCAAAAAATCATCACATAGGGGACAAAGTCCCCTATGTGATGAAAAAAAAAATTAAGTAAAATAATGAAAGTTACACTCAAGCACATACCTCCTCCCCCCAAAAAACTGAGGCATCCCCATATCAAATATACACACGTACAAACGTAAAAGCACGTGCTGGGGTACCTACACCTGAAAACATCGATTGTGATACACATGTCACATATCACCGCACACGCCAGAATGAGAGCAATAATTCTAGCACCAGATCTCCTCCGTACACTATACTGATGACCTATAAGGGCCTTTAAAAGTGTCACTTATAGAAAATATAGGGTACTGAAGTTCGTCGTCGCCATTTCACGAGCGCGCACAAATTTAAGGTTTGACACGTTGGATATCTATTTACTCGTTGCAACCTCATCTTTTATATTTTACAAGAAAATAGGGTAATTTATTACTTTTTTTTGCTCTTACAATTAACTTACTTGTACTTTTTACTGAAATTTTGCAATAATATCCTGCGACATAAAAGATTGGAACTACCACTATTTTATTCTCTAGGGTCTCTGCTTTCAGAAAATATACAATGTTTGGGGGTTTTATGTAATCTTCAAAATGATTTTTTAAACGTGTGCAAAAATCGCAAAACCGGCTCTGGCAGCAAAAGGGATAAAGGATAAGCCGGACACTCCCCTTTCCTGAGGAGCAGCCAATCGGTGCTCATTACACTGCAAGGCCTCTCCCCTCCTTACTAGTCCCCATGGGCAGGGCTGGAGACAGGTGGGAGGAGGAGATAAACAGCGCAATGTTAAAAATATTAAACGTTTAAGTCACCATAAAGCCGCTTTTGTTTTTAAAAGCCCCAGACCTTCCTAAAAGCACCTCAGATTTAATGACGGTTTTGGTTAAAATGTATTTATTTTTTATCAGCACAAGTAGCTTGTCATGGGGGACAAGTAGATTGTCATGGAGGACAAGTAGATGGTCATGGAGGACAAGTAGATGGTCATGGGGGACAAGTATATTGGGACCTCGATTTAGTCCCTGGGCAAGTAGTTGTTTCAAAAATTTCCACACCCCTGCTGATGGGAAAACTTCTAGGACATTGCTAAAAAATTCCTGTTACCCTCACCATCACAGGAGCGAGCTCTCAAATGCTGATCTTAGAGCTACTTCATCAGGGAGGAGAAAACATGGGTAAGGGGGTTAGAATGATAAAGCTGAACAATAACATTTGGGCTTCTCTTAGCAATGTTGTTAACAGGGGCAGATTGACCATTTGGAAACTCGGGCACTGCCCGAGGCCCTGGGGTCAGTAGGGGGCCCCATAAGATGCCCCTGGTACCTTTTTCATAGGCTTTTTTGAGTTTGGGCAAGGACACAGGGGCCCCATGATCCCCTATTGCCCGGGGGCCCCATGAGTTGTCAGTCGCCACTGGTTGTTAACAATGTCTGAGGAGTTTTTTCCCGTCAGGCTTCATGACGGGAAACGGCCTACACCTATAGCAAGGGCAGTATTCAACTTAGGTCAAAGCTGCACAGTTTGTTTTTATCTACAGATGTCCCTTATCTGCATAGACAGGTTTTTTTTTTTGTTTTTTTTTTTTAGCAAAGGTGACTTATGCCATTAACCACTTCCCCACCGGCCGTTGCATATAAACGGCCGGACGGTGGCAGTGCAGGGTCGGGTGGCCGTTTATAAACGGCCTCCCCGCATCCTGCTTGTGTGCGCTCCCTGGGAGCGCGCAGCACCGCGATCCGGTGCCCGCTGTGTCCTCCGGATACAGTGAAACACCGATCGTCGGACGGGACCTCTGTACGAGGTCCCGATCATGTGATCACTGATTGGCCAATCAGTGATCACATGCAAAGTAGTAAGTAAGATGTCACTTGTGACATCATTGCTTACTACGTGTGAAATCTGTGAATGATCACAGAGGTCACATGGTACAAGGCTATTCACAACAGCCTTGCACCATGTGACAAGCTGTGACCAATCACAGCTCACTCAGTACTTCTCAATGGCTGCAAGAATGCAGACAGAGAGAAAGAGAAATGATTGCTTTTACAGCCTATATGGGTGTAAAAGCAATGTGTAAAAAAAAAAAAAAAAAATCTTCATCACCCTGGTGACACTGTACTGCTAGGGTGACAGTATGTAAAAAAAAAAAAATAAAATAAAAAATGATATAAAAAAATAAAATAAAAATGTAAAAAAAAATGTTTAAAAATTATAATTTTTGGTTATAAACTAATTTGTATTTTTTTTTTTACTAAAAAGATAACAGAATAAATTTTGGCCAAGATTTATGATGAAATATTATTTATTTGCAAAATTTTATAAAAAAAACACTTTTTTTTTTCAAAATTTTTGGACTTTTTCATTTACATAGAAAAAAAAAAAATCCCAGCGGTGAATAAATACCACCAAAATAAAGCTTTATCTGTCTCAAAAAAATGGTAAAAAATTCATTTGGGTACAGTGTTGCATGACCGCGCAATTGTCATTCAAAGTGTGATAGCGCTGAAAGCTGAAAATTGCCCTGGTCAGGAAGGGGGTAAAAGTGTCCGGACTTGAAGTGGTTAAAGAGAAAAGTATAGTTTGCGTATACAGGCGTACCTCGGTTTATGAATTATTTTTGCAATACGAACGGATTACATTGGTTTTCAATGCATTTACTAATTGTTTTTTAATCATGTCCCTGTACAGTACTATGCCTTTATAAAGAGTTTTGAACAGTTAAGACTTTTTTTTTTTTACTTTTTTCTGACCTCTGGAACGGATTAATTGCTTTTCAATGCATTTACAAATGAATTTTTTATCATGTCCCTGTACAGTAATTATGCCTTTAAAGTGCACTTTATAAAGAGTTTTGAACAGATAAAAGACTTTTTTTTTCTTACTTTTTTCTGACCTCCAGAACGGATTAATTGGTTTTCAATGCATTCCTATGGGAAACCACTTTTGGTTTACAAAGTTTTCACAATATGAAAAGTCCCGCTGAACGCATTAAATTCGTAAACCGAGGTATGCCTGTATATATTTTTATATTTTATTAACCCCAGGACAAAAAACAAAACAGTCACCTTATACACGGCCAGGGGTGGACTGACCATTTGGAAACATGGGCACTGCCAGAGGTCCCGGGGTCAGTAGGGGGTCCCATGAGATGCCCCTGGTACCTTTTTCATAGGTTTTTTTGAGTTTGGGCAAGGACACAGGGGCCCCATGATCCCCTATTACCCGGGGGCCCCATGAGTTGTCAGTCCGCCCCTGTACACGGCATACCCATGGGATTGCATGGTGATCTGGCACAGTATGAAGGGAAGATAGGCCAGACTATGTCTGAGGAAAGATTGCTGGACTCAGTGGGAGAGAGGTTTTGTGTCGTAAGTATAATTCTAGGCAGGGGGTGAAGTTGTGAAGAGATGAACATCTAAGCAAGAAACATTAATATTTTTTTCTTTTTCATTGTAGGAAAGATTTTGGATGCCACCCACAGATACATGTTTGTGTTCATCATCGCCGGTGTCGAAGTGGTCACATCAGCCTTAGTCCTGACTATCGGCAATTTCTTCTGCATCAAGAAAAAACCTGAAGACCCACATTGCAAAGAAGAGGTTGCAGAAATTGGAGAACTCAATAAACCTGAAGACAAGGCACCCGAGGGTGACGACGAGAAGCCGCAGCTGGCCGAAGCAGAACAGTTTTTGAAAGAAGATGATAAACAGAACGGCGAAGTGGTGACAAATCCCGAGACGTGTGTGTGAAGAACAAAGAGACATTTAGTAAATTATATTTCTAGGATTAGTGTTAGGGCTGTGCCAATTATCTATCACCTTCCAGTTATTCAGGAGCCAAGCATATATGCATAACACTGAAGGGCAAAAAAAGTCTCTCGCTCTTCTGTGATTAAATGGTCCTTATTCTTCAACATGGATGTACGTTACCTGTCAAGGCTTTGGCACGTGTTTGGGTTGACACATTTTAGATTGTAATTTTTTATCTTTTTTTTATCTGTTGTAAATTCTTACAGTCCTGATTGTTATATATATTGTTTTATTTATGAACTTTATAAACGGTTTTTTGTTTCTTTTATTGATTTTGGTTGTATTTGCTATTGCACTGAAAAACTATTAAATTATATGTATATATATAAACACATAATTTTTTTAAAGAAGGTGTTTCATGGGCTATTATGTCCATACTGAAGGTTTTTTTTTTTTTTTTTTGTCACCATTTTACCGACACAATTATATTTTGAAGAGTAAGCATCCTAAATTGTTTTTTAAAGTATATAATTTTTGAAGTAACAGTGAAGTGGCGAATGGGCGGCCAGATATGATTATTACACAGGCCAGAGTATTTGGTGTCATTCTGGACTCCAACCTATCCTTCCAGCCCCAAGTCCAATCTTTAACAAACTCGTGCAGACTCCACCTCCGCAACATCGCCAAAATCCACACGTTCCTAACCCCAGAAACCACTAAACAGCTCATCCACTCCCTCATCATATCACGACTCGACTACTGCAACTCCCTCCTCACTGGCCTGCCTCCCCGCTGGCTATCCCCGCTTCAGTCGATCCTGAATACGGCTACCAGACTCATTCACCTTTCCAACCGCTCCATCTCCACCACCCCCCTCTGCCAATCCCTCCACTGGCTTCCGATAGCGCAACGGATCAAATTCAAAATGATAACACTGACGTACAAAGCCGTCCACCATACTGCCCCGAACTACATCACTGACCTAATATCCAAGTACCGCCCAACACGCACACACTCCGCTCCTCACAAGACCTCCTTCTCTCTAGTTCCCTGGTCTCCTCCTCCCATGCCCGCCTCCAGGACTTCTCCAGGGTGTCACCCATCCTCTGGAACTCCCTGCCCCAACCCATCAGATTATCACCTACTCTCCTCTCCTTTAGGCGCACCCTGAAAACCCATCTCTTCAGGGAAGCCTACCCCACCCCCTGCTAACTTGCCGACCTCCTCCACTCTTCCTACCACTCCATCCCCCACAGCTATCTCCTCCTGTACCACCATCCCCTCCCTCCTAGATTGTAAGCTCGAAAGAGCAGGGCCCTCGATCCCCTCATGTTTTGCATTGTATTGGTATTGTTCTGTCACATGTTCTGTCCCCCTTTGTAATGTACAGTGCTGAGCGAACTATTGGCGCTTTATAATAATAATAATTGCACCACATCCCTTGAAATGAGGGTTGTTTACCAGGGTAGGATACAACTCCTGAAGCTAAACTGACATAGCAAATAAAGAACTGGGATGAGGTGACCCCAAGGTGCTAGGGGAAAGTCTGTTAATCTGTGGGTAGACGAACAACTGAAGAGTGCTCTAGCACCCAGGTATCTTAAAGGGCCTTTAAAAAATTAGCAACCACCCCCTCGACCAGGATACGTAGGGGCACTCCTTGCGGAAGTCTTCCCAGATGGCTTACAGTGTTTCTTAAATGCAGGCTGCCAGAGAACCAGGTTTAGAAGGTCTGGGTGTATCTACTCCAGGAGTAGGTGGAGAAATATGGGGCTCAGCCACAGGGGCGGACTGACAACACATGGGGCCCCCGGGCAATAGGGGATCATGGGCCCCCTGTGTCCTTGCCCAAACTCAAAAAAGCCTATGAAAAAGGTACCAGGGGCATCTCATGGGGCCCCCTATTGACCCCGGGCCCTCGGGCAGTGCCCGAGTTTCCAAATGGTCAGTCCGCCCCTGCTCAGCCAACATTTTTGGACATTTTACATTGAGGCATGTAAATGTTCTGACCTTCATTGATATCCCTTATGATAACATCAAGAGTAGGTCCAAAGAAACGGTGTCCCTCCTACACCAAGTGAGATGATCCTGGGAAATGGCATCCACCTCTCAGCACCTTCACCAGAATGCCCTGTGTATCTGTATGGATAAGAGACCCACACAAGGCACAAACTTAGAAGCTTCTAAAAATCCACCCAAACTGATGCATATGTATCCAGACATTTGTTCCACATGCTCTGCCAAGAAATAGTCCACCATGGCAGCAGAGATCTCTTTTGAGGGATTCTGCCAGTTGACACATTAGGGTCACAGCCTGGGTAGGGTAGCAAAAACTGAATTTTAAGGGATCTTAGATGTTGGTTGGGGATCCTTAAAAGTAAGCATGCCCTCTACTGGTCAGTGGTTTTCCTGTTAAGGTGGATCACTGGCAGATCCACAAATTGTAAGGACCTCTGTTTAGAAAATTTCCTCCTAAAAGGGGAACAATTCCAACACTTGCTCAGGTGGGGGCTATGTGTGCTTTCAGTACACATATCGTTCAACTTTAATAGTGGGTGTAGTGGAGATGTCTTTGCAGCTGTAGCAGTTTCAAAGGACCCAAGTTGATCCTCCAGATGCGGGAGCAGTATGTATTATATCAATAGGGTTCCAAATGGTCACCTGTACGCCTTGGATAATGGTAGGAGACAGATTTCTCAAAACCAGTCAGAGATGGTCACTGTGACTGGTGGACCGGCCTCTTTGAAGACTGCAGGGAGATCAGAGATGGGCTGTTATGGGAATGCACTTAGAGCCTCTGTGGCCAGCACCTGCGAGGAAATTGGTGGTTGATCACAAAGTCCTATATGACTGCAGCAGAATTTCCTGATGACAAGGCAAGGAACTTGGCCCCACCGGACAGAGCTAAAGGGGAACATAACTTCAATAAAGTAGAATTTAAAACCCTAGGGCAGCAGTATTCCCAATTACAGACATTGGTGCCCTAAGGTACAGAGTGAACGTCCCCACAAACATTAATAGACAATTAGCTGGGGTCACCTGTTATAGCGGGACCATCTCCTCTGTGTCTACATACAGATAAGTTGCAAACATATGGTGGTAATACAACTATGCTCAGAGCCTCAAGTTCTTACAAACCTAGGCATCTGGTAGTTGATGGGGGTCTGAAGGCCAGAGGTGACTAAGGTGAATGTAGATGAGCAGCAAGAACGGACTTAAATCACAGTTCTAAGTGGCTCATTTGAAAAGCAGTGGTCAGCTCTCAGTGTTAATTCTCTCTACAGTAAAACCAGAAAAAGGCAGGAAATTCAAAGGCAGCTAGTGGTGCAAACAGTGATGTAATTCCTAGGGATCAGTCTGACTGGTCTACCCATGGAGTGAGTCTTTAAAGACAGGGCAAGTGCAGAGGCAATGCCAGTGACTCTAGACCTGGAAAGTGTGCCAAGGCTAACTTGTTACCAGAGTAAGGTCAGGAGAGCTAAACTGGCACCCAGTGCTAGAAGGTCACTTTCAGGCTAGCACTGCAATGTTGAGTCCAGATAAAGCACTCCAAATGCCAGGTGCTGGATGGAATTGCTGGGTAGCGGCTTTCAAATGAATCAGCTTAAGCACTGATGTAGAGCATTGGTGTCAAACTGGTGGCCCTCCAACTGTTGCGAAACTACAAATCCCATCATGCCTCTGCCTTTGGGAGTCATGCTTGTAACTGTCAATCTTGCAATGACTCATGGGACTTGTAGTTTGGCAACAGCTGGAGGGCCGTCAGTTTGACACCCGTGAAGTAGAGTCTTGTAGAGAAGTCTTGTTTGAAGATGTCCGGTCAAGCAGGCCCTGGGTATGGCACACCAAAGCCAGGTCGAGGTGTATTTCTGCTATGTAGAGACTTGATAAAGTAGCAATGTAGCAAGGAATCTTGTTATATTCAGGCATTCCAAATAGATGAGAGGTAATCTTGGGATGGCCTACAGATTTTTTTTTGTTTGTAGGTATAATTCTCCTGCGGGTGGTGGTATACCCGATAATTGAATTAAAATAAATAAATGGTAAAGATGGTATTGTTCTATGTATCTCAACAAATGAGAAAGAAAATATTTTACATGTGGCTGGTGCATGCTGGGTATTCTAATAATGAAGTCCTGTGTAACAGCAGGTAGTCATTATGTTTATGATACTTTTAAATTGTAGAATGTAAATACTGCATGTCTCGCTTCTTATATTTTCGTATAAACATTGCCTGGGACGTTTTCGAATGCCTACCACACCAGGATTACAGAGAAAAACAGTCTGGCAGGCATCCCATTGTACAAAACACAAAAACAGGTTACAAAGGCCTACGCATTATCTTTGACACTTTATTAAAGGATATAAAAAACAAATGTTATACTCACAAGCCAAGTGAGCTAAAGGCATGTAGGGCCACAGCTCTGAGGAAGGGGATTGGGCCTCCAAAACGCATCAAATGTCTTTGTTGGACTCTCACATTGTGTGCTTTATGCAGTTACATGCCATTAGCTCACTTGGCTTGTGAGTAGAAACATTTGTCTTTTATATTCTTTAATCAAATATCAAAGATAATGCTCCAGGTGTTTGCCCCCCCTCTCTGATTTTGTGTTTTGTACGGTGCTGGATTTCCCTGATTTGAGAAGGGCTGCACCTCCATTTCTCTTGTGAAAAGACTATGGTCTTTGGTTTATGTGATGAGTGGGTCTACCAAATTCTGTGCGTTGGATTTCCCTGATCTGAGAAGGGCTGCACCTCCATTTCTATCTAGTCCAGGTTGTGAAAAGACTATAGTCTTTGGTTTATGCAATGAGTGGGTCTACCATTTTCTGTGCTCTGGATTTCCCTGATCTGAGAAGGGCTGCACCTCCATTTCTTTATAGTCCAGGTTGTGAAAAGACTACGGTCTTTGGTTTATGCAATGAGTGGGTCTACCATTTTCTGTGCATTGGATTTCCCTGATCTGAGAAGGGCTGCACCTCCATTTCTTTCTAGTCCAG